TTAAATTAATAAAGACTATAATTACTGAATTTACATATAATTAACATAAAAAACCAAAATACCTTTGAATCACAGATATTGTTTCATACACCCTTTTCTTTTCTTTCTCGGGTTAAAAATTGCAAATCTATTTATCTTAAGTATACAAAATTTTTGGTATTACAATAACGTATCTTGGACTTTATGAATCAAGGTGAAGAACGATTCATTTCATCCACGCGGGATAACAACAGAGGATTTAAATTCCTTAAATGCATACCACTTCTTCTTCCATGAGAAAAAAATAAACTATCACAATATATTTGTCTAGGTGTAACGTCCCAATTTTCACAATAATTTTTTTTATTTTTATAAATCAAGATAAATACCCATTTTTCATAAGTGATAATCAAAATAAAACCATTGTTCGCAAACCAAAATCCAAAATCAGAGTAATAAGGTAAAACATAGTGGAATTTTAAAACATAAACTGTCGATGTATGTGTACAGTCACATCTTCGCCTTTCCACGATCCTTAGAAGTACTTGAAGACATTTTAATCCACAACTGTAAGCACAAAGCTTAGTGAGTTCCCCAAAATACCATACACAACAATATACAAAGCATACAAGTAATGGCCTTCAGCACAAAGCTGGTCTGCCTCAGCCTTCAGTACATAGTTGGTCCGCTCCTGCCTTCAACACAAAGTTGGTATGTCTTGAGTGTATTGGCCTACAACACATAGTTCGTCCGCCCTCAACTCATCATAAGATATGTCAACATATATAACAGACAGACAAAAAAACAAACCATAATAATAGGCAACCAACTTAACGAGTCTACTTACCTAAACGCATACTGAATAAAGGAGTTGAAATCAAGACACTCGAGATCACCCCGAATCAACTACAACACCACCTAAACCAAGCAGAGGTCAAATCTTCATATCTAACTCTACTAAGGGACTTGATGGATAAATTTCATGATTTATCCATTTTCAACTAAGCTAAGTCATAAACTTAAACCCTAACTCTTAAAGTGGCCCAAAAAGACCTAAAGGCTTTGCATGGCTTGGAAGGAGGACAATAACTCGACTTTCAAGCAAGGAAATGATCCGGAAATGATTCTAGGACAACAACAATCATCTAGAGTTCCCAAACTCCAAGAAATCTTAAGATAAGGGGACAAAGGCAACCAAAACACCATCAAAACCTAGGTCTATGCATGGAATTTTATGAAGGTAAGGATCTTTGATACTTACAAAGGTCCAGAACTGAGGAGAATGATACACAACTTTTGGATCTTCACTCTATATACTTTCTTTCTCAAGAATCTCCACCAAAAAGCACCAAGTACACTCAAGGGGATAGGGTTTGCTCTCTGGAGAATGCACGAAACCCTAAAATTTATCACCCTTAAATAGGGCCTAAGGCCCGAGACCTCGGCTTTTTAACTCCCCAGCCGCCATCGTGTCGCGATACATATCTAATTACATCGCTACTTAATTAACAAGGCCGCATCGTGACACACTAATGTTAGCGATGTGGCATGTCGAAAACCCTACATCTCATACTTAAATAAAAATTTAAATGCCAAAATACTTATACTTGGAAAACATACGTTACAACGGAGAATTTATTACATCCGCATTCCCATACTTCTTTTTTGATCTCATCATTAGATAAGGGAGAATCCAATATATGCATATGGCAAAAAAGAATTTAAAATATGCAGTAGTGTGAATCGGCATGTTATTGTGAGGTTCCTCGAAAAGAAACGAAAAGTAGGAAAAGAAATTGTCCTTAACTAACTGAGGGTCATGTGTTAGGTTGTTTTTTATAAAATTGTTTTGATGAACTTTTATGTCTACTGGCAGGCAAACATTAACGAAAAATATTGTTTGTTTTTTAGAACGTTGCAGACATAAAAAGGTATGTGACATTATTTCCAAAAAACAAAAAGTAGTTTCTGGTTTTTGAAAACATCTTCTAAGTTAAATCCCTAATATGATATTTCTTTTTCCACTACCACCTCCGCCACACCATCACCACCATTCACACAACCTTCGCTGACACCACAACCTCTGCCGCCACCACCACTACATTTGTCATTATGGTTAATGGTTGTATGCACAATTTGTTTGTTTGATTGATATCATCTATGATCATTGTGGTTTATATCATTTATGCACCAAAAATTATTCAAACTTTGTGGAATGTAAATTTTTCCTACACATCTTTTTCTGCAGATGTGAAAAAAATTACAAATATTTTACCTCTTAAAAAACAAACAACACCTTAAAGACCTAGGTGTCATCTACCATGATGATTTCACTTATTGGATATTTCTTTTCTTATTGACATAACCATGAAACATTTTCATGTTTTGCCTCCTTTCAAAATCAAGTAATTTTTTGTTTTTTTAGCATCTTAGGCTTCTTTTTTATCAAATGTATGTAGGTTATCGATATCAGAATATGCAACTCCCTTGCCTATTTTTGAAATGTTTAATGCCACCAATTTTTTTTTGACCAAATGTCATATTTTATGCCTATCTATCATGTCCACTTCTCATTTGTTATGTTCTTTAACTCATTGTGATATTTTAGTAAAACACAAAACACTAATTAAATTTTTGTAATTTATTAATCGGATTTCCGAACTGTGCACATATTTATAAGTAGATGATTTTTCTTGTCTGAAATCCAAAATATAAAATGCAAGTTGGAAATCTGAATTTTATAATGTATCTTTTCATTATTTTATTATGAATATAAAATTAGTAAGAAATAATGTAGCTTTTCATTATTTTATTATGACATAAAATTATTTAGAAATAATATGAAATACATGATGATGGTCTAGTAAACTAAAAGGTTATTATTTTTATAATTTTTTTCATAAAATATCAATCCATAATTATTATATTTTTATAGGTTTTAATTGTTTTTAACAGATTATTTATCTTTTAATTGTATTCAAAAGATCATTTGATTTTTTATGTTCTTATTACATCATTGATATAGATTACAACCGGATAAAATGGTATCAAATCTTTTATGTCAGCAACATTTAATATGACATAATTTATTCATTGCTAACATAATGTCTATTACAATATCTTATATGATAACACCATGTCTACTATAATATCTTATATGATATAATTTAGGGATGAGCAGCGGAAGCGGGTACCTGCTTTCGGAACCGGAACTGCCTCGGAACTGCCGGTTCTGGAACTGGAACCGCCTTAGACGGTTCCGGTTCTGGTTCTTAAAGTTTCGGAACCGCCTTAAGCGGTTCCGGTTCCAATTCTTATTTTTACGAAACCGATACCCGCTGGATAATCATGTATATAAGTCGTGATGTTGGTTTTTTTAGGTTACCCAGCAAAAGCGAAAGAGGACACTGCATGAAATATGCTATGACCTCTGTCCTGTAAGTTTGTGCAAACTTTGAGATTATATTTTATCATGTTTAAACTTTTAGGTTTTTGCTACTCAAATGGTCTAACTTAAAGATTGTGATGGAATATGCATGCAGTATACTGTTCTCGATGAGCTGACAAGATCAATGGATCCAATTCAAGGCTATGTTGTTTTTGCTGTGTTGTTTTTTGCTGTTGTTGTTTTATGTTTATTGTTTGTAATTTTTCATTTTCATCACCTCTACTTGTTAAATTTCACTTGAATTGAAATGTTTTCTATGATGTTTTTTTTAATTATGGGAAGTGTTTTTAAATTTTAATAGGTGGTTATGTAAAAGATCAAGTTTTTATAATTGTTTTATTATCATATCTTCTACATCTGATGTTTGTAAACGTTAATATCCATGCCATATACTCTATAATTTATAAATAAAAAGTTTTATATTTAAGAAGCCGGGTACCCGGAAACGGAACCGGTTCCGACGGTTCCGGGAGCGGTTCCAATTTATAAGGAACCGGTGTAGGCGGTTCCGGTTCCGGCAGTGCCGGATATAATGGTGGGCAATAGGGACATTTGCACAGGGCCCATATATTCTAGGGGCCCAATTTTTTTTTACTTTATATTATGTGTAATTAAAATTCCAAGCCCAAATGCTTAGCTCCCACAGTCCATGAAGCGTACAGCAGTCCAGAGATAGACAAAATTCTGCCGACTTGTCGAGATTTTGTGATTTCCGACTTTCTGTAAGTGTGAGGTTGTGAAACGTGAGAAGGGCAGTCGATCATTCATCATTCAGGGACATCCGATTACTCCACAGCGTGCAGGACATTCAAATTTCATATTTTTATACAGGGATATTCATAATCATTCAGATTTCAGAAAGTAGAAGGTGAGAACTGAGAAGGGCAGCACGGTATTATTCCACAATTTTTCTTGTTTTATTTTGTTCCAGACTTCCAGTCAATCATAAATCATTCATCATTCATCATTCAATCATAAGTTATTCAGACTTCAGTTATGTTTAATTGTTTGTTTTATTTTTGAGATATTGAATGTTGAACCACAATATCACATCACAGGATCATATTAGATAATTAGATTACTTAGCAGAATTATTCATCAGAAATTGAATTACAATTACATTGTAAATTGTTCCATTGAAATTGAATCAGAATGTGAATGTTATCATATTATAGTTAGTGAATGATGAAATCAGACATCATAAAAAAACCAGTTTATGTAATTTAATTCGTTACACGTTAATGCCTAAGGGCCTTTTTTTCCACCTCGTCCCGTGTATTTGAATCCTCAGGATCGGCCTTGGGTTCCAGTTCCAATAACTTAAGAACCGCCGGTTCCGAGAGCGGTTCCGGTTCCAGCAAAAATAGGCGGATACCCGCTTATGCTCATCCCTAATATAATTACCCGTTTGAATAATATGAACAAAGAAAAAAAACCGTATTATTAAATACAACTAAAAAACAAATGACCTAAGAAATGGATTTTGTATTATTGGTTTTCAAACATTAATTTTTTTTTTTTTTTTTTTTGTAAATATGTCGTATACCTTTATTTTTGTGAATATCCGGTGTATTAAAGATATTAGAGAAAAAGGAAAGCGAGCCGATCCACATGGCACCGCCGTACATGGTTGTTGCAGACCGAAAATAGAAGTTCAAAAGTTTCCATTAGTCAGCACCATTTGTCTGCAATTAGATGTAAACAATCTCCTCCATCAAGGCACCTTTATTTCTAATGGCACCACCATTCTTACTTTGCTTCTTCTTCATCTTCTTTCTCCTCGCATCTCGATCAATCGAATCCCAAAAACATGCCGCTGCTGCGCTCTTCGTCTTCGGAGACTCGTTCTTTGATCCTGGAAATAACAACTACATTAACACCACCACTCTCGACCAGTCTAATTTTCCTCCATACGGAGAAACATTCTTCCGCTTCCCCACCGGCCGCTTCTCCGACGGCCGTATCATTCCTGATTTCATCTGTAAGTCTTTTTGTTTTCTGTTATCTGCTCTTTCATATCAAACTTCCCAGATTCCGTTTCTTAATCATAACTACTATTTTCCATAATCATGAAAAAGTGAAGTACGCCAAGTTGCCCTTGATTCCGCCGTATATGGAGCCTGACAGCCGGAGGTATTACAAGATCGGAGCCAACTTTGCATCCGCAGGAGCAGGTGCTCTTGTTGAAACGTTTCAGGGATCGGTACGTAATTATTTTGGTGCAGAAACAACAAGTAATATCATATTCAACAAACATAACTTTAAAGCATATTCAAACAAAGCTTTAGTTATTATAGTTTATTACCCCTTTTTCTCCAAGCATATTCAAACAAAGCTTTAGTTATTGTAAGATTTCTGGAGCAGATTTTATGCAGTTATCTTCGCTATTATCACAAATTATATATTATTTTAAGTTCTTGAGATTAAAAAGATGATCAATTTTTAGATTTTTTTTTTGGTTCCATGATGGAAAAAGGAAAGTAGTTTGAAGATTTGCCTTTTTAACTGGTAAGTGAACATTTTAGACCACTCATTGTGTTGGGTGTAATACCAACCAAATCACTTTCTGAAGTTGACCCCCCACCTTTGCCAAAATTACCAACATAAACTACAATTAATTAATTTCAGAAATTGAATCTACAAAATCACATGGTCAGAGTGCAGTTCACATGGAAGATAGAATAGTCAACCAAGTTCGATTGTGGAAAACCACATCTATTAAAGGTTTAAATCCAGCTTTTTTTAATTAATGGAAACAATAGTTAATAGGGTATATGGATACCCATATCTTTAGGAAATCTACTTTGTTAACTATAAACAGATTCTTGTGTGCCAATAATCTTTTTCTAATTGTTAATGCTTATCAGAAAAAAAAAAGATTTTGAAATTATAGAAACAAAGGTGTGAACAAAAAGTATCAAGAAACCTTTTTTTTTTGGTTATCAAGTGGAAGAATGCATGTGGTGTGGGTAGGAAAGTTGCAGGGACAAAACTGATAGGTCCAACATATGTTTCAGGCTAAACTCCAATTTTAAAAACACAAGTAGCTAGAGGTGGGTAATGGTCCTATTTTTCAACTCTTAGTGTTATAGTAGTACTAATAGATGATGGATACATGTGATTTTCTAAATATAGAACTAAAGCATCATGTCATTCATTGTGTCACTTTCATCAAAGTCTTTAAAAAATATTTAAAAAAGATATGATTTTTAATTGTTGACAGGTAATCAGTCTTCAAACCCAGTTAAGCAATCACAAGAAGGTGGTGAATCGATTGAGAAAGATTTATGGGAACACTGAGGCTAGTGACACATTGTCAAAAGCTGTCTATTTGTTTAGCATTGGAACAAACGATTACGCAAGCCCATACTTGATTACCAACTCCACTAATTTCACCTCCTCATACTCCAACTCCCTCCTTGTAAAAATTGTTCTTGGTAATTTAACAACCGCTATAAAAGTAAGCATGTATATGTATATCAACTCTTTAATACACAATAACGGAGTATTTTCAAGATTTGACATTAAGTGCTTACAATTTGGACAGGAGTTGCACAAAAGAGGAGGCAGAAAATTTGGGTTTCTGAATTTGGGTCCATTGGGTTGTATTCCAGGGATGAGGATACTTCTTAATCCATTAAGTAAATCCGTTGGGTGTGTAAAGGAGGCTTCATTGCTAGCAAAACTACATAACCAAGAGCTTGCAAAGTTGCTAAAAAGATTAGCAAAGCAACTGCATGGATTCAGATATTCTCTATACGACTTCAGTAGCAATATCAAGCATAGAATAAAACATCCATCCATATACGGTATATATGTGCAACATTGTGTGTTGTTAAAAAAAATTATTTGAATTAAAGTGACATGTGATTGACAAAATGATGTTTTATGTTTAGGTTACAAGGAAGGGAAAGTGGCATGTTGTGGGACAGGGCGGTTTAGAGGAACGTTTAGCTGTGGAGGGAGGAGGCCGGTGAAAGAATTTGAAGTGTGCGAGAATCCTAAAGAGTATGTGTTTTGGGACTCTTATCATTTCACTGAAAGAGTTTATGAAGAAATGGCTCATGAAATGTGGAACAAAGAAGCAAGTAGAGGAACTTACAATCTCAAAGCTCTCTTCCAATGACCATGATAATTTCCCATCTTTCTAGGTTGAGCTTCTAATATATATATAGAAATTTTAATTCTATCAACTTCATTTTAGATCACATTCTTGACCTTATTTTGTAAAGAAAAGGGACATGTTATATAGATTGAAATTATAAGTTTTATGCGTGTGCTTGTTAAAATTTGTGGCTACACTGCTATAGTTTGTAGCTTTAACCCTAAAACATAGTTTGGTTCTTTGAGTCCATGAATAGACGTTAAACCTACGTAAAATACATTGAAAATGCTGATTTCATTTTGATTCGGCGAAATTGGTGCATGAGGAATAGTCGTCCTCACTAGGAGAATTATGAGAGAGCAAAGTTAGATTGTCTTTTCAAAATTCCGTTCGACCAAAGCAATTTGCTTTTCGATTTGGGTTTATGGGACATATTGTAATCATGTTCGTACTCTCTTTCGGGAATTCTCGTGCAGTTTTAGGATTTAGTAGGTTTACACCAAAGCTAATGTAGCTTTTGGAAATACCCGTTTTAAATAAATATGTCATCTTCTTTGGGTAGACATACACAATTGTATAGTTAGGTTTGTTTTGTATGTTTGCAACGCCACTAGCGTGGTGCCTACATGACCACATCTACGCGCACTACACACCTTCTTGGTGGCAACATGGAGGCTCAATGGTGTGGCCATGCGTGGTATGTGCAATGTGAAACAATTCAAATGAGAAAAATCAGACCGTGTATTAAATAATTTAAGAGTAAAATTAATTTGGTGATTGGAGTGGTTAGTATGCCATAGGGGTGTGTGTGGATATGGTGATGATGTAGCATTGAGACCGTTTATTAAATAATTGAAAAGTAAAATTAATTTGGTGATGTGGAGTGGTTAGTATTCCACATGGATGTGTGTGGATATGGTGATGATGTAGCACTGAGATGGCGGCAATTTTAATATGGTAGTGTGGAAGGTATAGTTGATAGCTTTAGTGGAATCATGTTATACTATTTTTGCGAGGTTGATTTCACGTGTTGAATTGCTTTATTTGGTTAGTATTATATTTTTACTATGGTATATGTAATGATAGGAAATTGTAACACTCAAATGATGCATGTATGTTTTAAAAACAAATGTTTTTGTTTGGACCATATTTTTGATAAAAAATGATATGAATCTTGTAAATATTTTGAAAAACCATAGTAATCATCTTTGAGGAAAAAAATAGTGTGCTACATATACAATAACTTAAATCGGGAGTTTTTACGAACCAAAATTCATGCGGACTCTTTTGGTCCCTTGTTTGAAATTTTATTTAAAACATAACATGTCATTGGCATGGCCTCTCCCCAAAACCATCACTCAATCCCGAGTTAGAAAGCATTTAGTTAGCTATTTCTTTCAAAATTCAATTTTTTATCTATAAGGAGCCATTGTTTCTATACAAAAATTAAATATTCTACCAATCTTCCTACCCATATAAAATGATGTCACATTGAATCCACAAATTTTCTCTCTTCGTCCCTTTTTTTTAACAGCTCAGAAAAAAATTTCATTCAAGAAAAACGTCAACTCTAATGAGGGGCTAGAGCATACAAAACAGCAAGAGAAGAAGACAGATTACATCCAGCTATCTAAAGACAAGTTTCTACCGTATTTGTAACGAACTCTAAACCATAAGAAGCTATTGCTAATGACTTCTGAGGCGAGAACAGAGATGTTTTTAACTTTGCGATTGAAACGAATGTCGTTCCGGGTGCACCAAATGCCCCACAAGAAGGCCCAATCACAACCCCATATTTGATGGCCTCCACTTTGGTCCCTATGAGATTCTCTCTTCATTCCTTATCTTGATTTTGACATTTGTCTTGATCTAATGAGTAAAAAAATAAATTGCAATAAAAGGTACATTGATATTTAATTTTTCTTCATGTATAGTTCCAAATAATGGATATTCATATAATATCCACCCCAATTAGTTCATAAACATCCATCAACAATTTTTGTTGTAACACAATTTTGGGTTTGGAGTTTTTATATTTATTTAACACTTTGTATTCTTTTAAGTAATAAATAAATATAACAAAAACATGATGAATCATTTATAAAACTCACCACATGTTTTTTTTTTATTCCATGAAGGAGTATAATGAAAACCACATAAATTACTCTGACCAAAATTCAAAGCCCCGCACGTGGCACGGCCTCTATGACCGGCTGACCGTTATCTAATCATGCTCGAGATGAAACTCGTCTTATTATACATTTTATACCACCGAACTTGCATTAGGTCATAATTTTGACCCCCTTTCAAAATTCACTCGTTTAATTAGCTGATTTGAAAATTTTAACAAACATACTAATTTTGAACTTGATTAGCATTTAATTGGTGAACTGAATCAATTTATGAGTGCTCTGTCGTTTTTATTAATATGTGTTACTTTAAATTTTAAAAGATTCAGAAAATTGAGGAAATAGTTAATTGAAAGATTTAAATTAACATTTATCTTTAAACTGCATTTATATCATGAAAGAAACGTTGGCGAACAATGTTTTATGAACAAAAAATGCAAAGAAAAAAATACATGCATATATTAAATTAGAGCCATAAACTTTGACAAAATAAGACATTCTTTAAGGCTTTGGGAGTGGTCACATCCAACCCACCAAAAAAATGTTGCCACATGTACGCCACATCATTTTCACCACCAACCCACTATCAACCCCATTAAACATTGGAAATGGTTACCACTCCACAAATTTCTTTTTTTTATTTTTTTAACATTATATTAAAAAAAACAAAATACAAACCATAATTTAAATAAAAAACACACATTACATTAAAATTAAAAACACATTACATTAATATAAAAAACACAAATTACATATAGTTAACATTTGCATTTGGAGTGTTTGGGATGTTTTGATTTGAATTCGTATAGATAGAAAAAATATATATATATGAGAGAGATGAGTGTTTTTTGTAGATGGTAATAAAATATAGAGAGTGTTTTTTGAAGTGTAAATTGTAAATAAAATAGTAGATAATTTATAGGTGAAGTTGAATGTGTTTAAATTTTAAAAAATAATTTTTTTTTATTTGTTAAACGGTCAATAGACCGTTCCACCAAAATCCACCCGTTACAAAAAGAAAGGTTTTGATCCGTCGTCTCGTCCCGTATCCAGAGCCACGTCACACGCACCGCACGGGAGTTGGGGTGGTGTTCACACGTGGAAATAGCCCCATCCCGGATAGCCTAATTGGGATATCGTTATCCCCCAGTCTTGTTGACCCATCTAGTTAAGGCGGCTGATTGGGTCGAGTCAAAAATACGATCCAAAAAGTAGAACGACACATTCACCCATAAAAACGCCGGCAAGCCAACTTGATGATCAGCTTTAGACATATGGCTGTTGCAGTTACCAATTTGGGTCTTCCACTAGCTGTTTCATGTCTCTTCATACTTACACTTTGCCAGATTTCTCAGGCGCATTTCAACAAACACAAACACATTGCGCTCTTCGTTTTCGGTGATTCGCTATACGATCCTGGAAACAACAACTACATAAACACAACTCCAGAATTCCAGGCGAATTTTTTTCCGTATGGCGAATCATACTTCAATCCTCCAAGTGGAAGATTCTCCGATGGTCGTCTCATCCCTGATTTCGTCGGTGAGAATATTTACGAACAACCGCCTATCTCTTTTTCTTCCTCATTCCTAACTCACCTTCTATCAAACAGCCGAGTTAGCGAAACTGCCGCTCATTCCTGCGTATCTCAATCCCCGGAATAAGGAATTTGTGTATGGAGCAAACTTTGCGTCGGGAGGCGCTGGTGTGTTAGTCGAAAGCCATGCTGGATTTGTATGAATCCCTTCGTTTCCATGAATTATATTTCGATTTACTCATCTATTGATTCCATATATAAATTGGTGTAGGTAGTTGACCTAAAAACACAGCTACAGTATTTCCGCGATTTAGAGAAACAATTTAGACAGAATTTAGGCGATTCGGAAGCCGAACAGCTGTTATCCGATGCCGTCTACTTGTTCAGCTGCGGAGGCAACGACTATCTGAGCCCCGTCGGCAACAACGAGAGTATTCTTTATCCATATACACATGAAGAGTACGTGGGAATGGTGATCGGAAACTTGACTGATGCGTTCAAGGTAATCAAATAACAAATATTTCGTTCCTTTTTAATTACCTCGATTCTCAAATTCCAGATCTTCAATTCTTTTTTAAAAAGGGGATCCATGAAAGAGGAGGAAGGAAAATTGGAATCGTTACAGTCCCGCCAATAGGGTGTTGGCCAAGCGTTCGTGCAGGACGACCAGACAATACTTGCAGTGAAGAAATTGACATCATCGTAAGTCTACACAACCAGGAACTTTCACAGAAACTTCAAGAGCTCGAGAACCAATTGGAAGGATTCAAGTATGCAAAGTATGATCTCAATACAGCCATTAGGAAAAGGATGAAGAACCCACCAAAATATGGTATTGTTCAATACCCATATCTTTCATTGTTTTGAATTTATAAACTTCCATTGATTTTTGAAATTTGAATTGAAGGTTTCAAGGTAGGAGACACTGCGTGTTGTGGTAGTGGTCCTTTTGGTGGGATTTATACTTGTGGAGGGAAAAGAGGAGTGAAGGAGTTTAAATTGTGTAAAAATGCTAGTGATTATTTTTTCTTTGATTCTAATCATCCTAATGAAGTGGCGAGCCGACAATTCGCAAATATGTTTTGGAACGGTGATTCTAGTGTCACGTCGCCATACAATCTAAAAGCCTTGTTTAAAGGTATACTGACATGTTATTAAGCTGTGAGACTCGATGTCAAATTGAATTTGCTATTCATTGTTTGTATTTTATATAGACATAGAGTAGTTTAACTCTAATGTAGGCTACTCTATTTATATACAAGATATAAATAACTAAATTAACTAAATTCAGTCCCATAACTAATGATTTGGTATTTAATCTCTCAACTTAATATTTATAACGTTACGAGTTATTATTATTTTTTCTAATAAAAGTGGTTGCTTTCACTATAGGAAAACAATTGCCAACTTCCTCGGGCAAATTAGATCTTTGAGACAGAGTCGAGTGTGCTTTGTTGTATACCACAGGTACTATACTGTCATATTTGTATTTGTGAATGTACACGTGTCATACTAGTCTTGGATTGACAAGTGTACAAGTGGCATACGTACAGGTTTTGACAAAGGGTTGGAGTTTTTATATGTTATAAAAATAAAGTTATAAACAAAATTTGTTAAGGAGTAGAAGATTGTGGTGGACAGAAAGTCATGGCCTTTCCTTCAATCATAACCAAACTTCAAAAGACGTGACACGTTCAACAACTATTGGCTTCCATCGCTTTCAAAATTATATTTACAAATATTTAATTATGTGATATTTGTTCAATTTAATATTAGTTTTGAATGTTTAAAATAAGAATAGTATGATTTTGAAATCGATCAAAATTCAACCATTTTTTGTAGTTCAAGATGATGATGTCAAACATATCGTTATTTGTTAAAACGCATGCTTCCTAAATATGTTTTTTTACTCTTCTTATTATTTAGAATTTTATTATATGATTTTATAGATATCTTCTAGTTTTGTATTATAATAAGGATTTGTTTTAACTTGTGTAACTAATATGAAATCGCTTACCCTGTTTTCCAGAGTTCTTTTTAAGAAGCGAATTGAAAAGAAATGGAAATAAATGATTAAAAAAAAATCAAAATATTGTTTCTTTGTTTTTTAATGAAAAATAATCGAAAAAAAGTGAATTGATATGTAAACTATCAAGACATAAAACGGTTAGGGTTTTATATTATTATCAAATGAGAAGTACAAGTTACAATGAAAGGAAAACACAGAATATATAGACTAGCTAATTAGGGTTTTCTAGCTAAAGGATCAACATAAGACCCAATACAAAATAAAATCCATAATCTTATTAGGCTAACATCCTCCTCAAACTCACAATGCAACAACAATAAGTTTTGAGAGTTTGTCAGACAGAAAATGAAATCGATGAGCAGTCAATGGCTTTGTAAGAATGTCAGAAATCTGCAAAGTTGAGGAAACATAAGGAAGAAAGATAGTGCCCTTCTGGAGATGATGTCATGTGAAATGACAATCAATCACAATGTGTTTTTTGTAACATCCCAAAATTCAAGACCAAAAATTTCATTTTTAATTAAGTTATTATAAAACCAATAGTATAAAAGCATCCATAGTGTCATCCCATATCAAAACCAGTATGTCAATAATCAAAACATGTCATAATGAAACAATATCAGAGTATAATCCTAAATATCTCATGTGTAGAAAACATAGTGTGATGCGTTGCGATCCTGTCGGCTCCTTTCCTTTTGAAAAGAAGTACCTGAAACCAAAACTGTAAACCGTAAGCACAAAGCTTAGTGAGTTCCCCCATCATACCACACACCATACAAATAACATACAGTCAGGCATATCTGGGTGCCCGACCTACCCATTCGGTCTTTTTCAACCGGTAACCGCCTAGCATATCTGGGTGCTGGCCTACCCCTTCGGTCTCTTTCAACCGGTAACCGCCTACATATATGGTGCTGGCCTACCCCTTCGGTCTCCTTCAACCGGTAACCGCCTAGCATATTTGGGTGCTGGCCTACCCTTTCGGTCTCTTTCAACCGGTAATCGGGGACTATTTCACCCCCTACCACTACCACATAATATTCTAGCATATACACATAAATCACATACTGCCTAGCATATCTGGGTGCTGGCCTACCCCTTCGATCTCTTTCAACCGGTAACCGGGGACTATTTCACCCCTACCACTATTGCATAATAACGTAGCATACTAGCACATAAAGCATAACGGATAGTGGCATACTAGACATTTATCACAAAGACAATCATCTTAACTATAATCACCTACTAGTGGGCCGGCATTGGTGCCTTAGACCCACTTCTACTGGAAGGTAACTCACCTCACATTGCTGAAGTCCCGCGGACAAAACTCTGGCTGCTGGATGACAGATTCCTGAACTGTCAACATCAAAATAACACCCAATTAATAATTGGGTTCCAACACATAACCATAAGTCCATGCTTGGGGTAAAAGACTACTTTACCCCCTACTTAACTTGATTCAAGCCCAAGGCCCAATCCAAAGGCCCAAAAGTCAAACAATGAACCAATGCCCAACATATGGCCCAATTTTCCAAATTGGGCCCAAACCTTTACATGGTCTTACCTTGAGGCCCAACCATTTATTCCAGTCTAAACATTTGGCATTCCAATGGTCAAATATCACATAATCGTCAAGGCCCAATTATGGCCCACCTATGGCAATTTTCCAAATTGGGCCACACCCCTCACATGGGCCTTACCTAAAGCCCATTCAAATATTCTAGTCCATATACTTGTTCTTCGATGGCCCATCTGTAACGACCCAAAAATCCTGACCAAAAATTTCATTTTTAATTTAATAAATAAACCACAAGTGTCAACCATTCATTCAAAACATATCACATTAGAGTATCATGTCTAAAACATTATTTTATTTTATCAGAGTAAAACATCCCAGGCTGAATAAGCAATGGTGTGTGCCATGCGATCACCCCGAGCTCTTCCCTCCGCTACCGGAAGTACCTGAAACCAAAACTGAAAACCGTAAGCACGAAGCTTAGTGAGTTCCCCAACCTACCATATCCCATGCATAATCACATACTGCAAGCACTGGGCCACGTCCGCTACTTCGGGCCCCGCCCGATCCCAGGCCCCGCCTGGCTTCGAGCCCCGCTCAGTATACAGATCAGTTTTACTTTAGGCCCCGCCTGTCTCTGGGCCCCGCCCGCTAAGTGCATGCAAACATATAACCATAGCACATAACACATAAACTGAACATACCCTACTGCATTACTGTCCTAAGGCCTCGCCTGTCTTGGGCCTCGCCCCTGTCCTGCTACTAGTGAGTCATGGAACCCCGTCCACACTCCTACTGATAATGAGATACGGGCCCCCGCCCACACTCACTACTTTCCTAACTCGGGTCTCGCCCCTGCTCTGCTACTAATGAGATATGGAACCCCGTCCATACTCTGCTAATGGTGAGATACGGGACCTCGCCCACACTCACCTCCCTACCAGGCACACACAAGTATCACACAGACAACGAGTATAATCTAACATGCAACTTTCCTCGGGCTTACTCCGGCATCGGATCTTGATCCGGAATAACTAACACATAAACCTTCCTCAGGCACCCACCCGACATCGGACCTTGGTCCGGAATAGCATACTAGCATACAGTGCCTAGGGCTAACCCCCGCGTCTTCCTACTCATAACTACATGGGCCGGCATTGTGGCCGTAGACCCATTCACACAAAGGGAAACTCAGCTGCACTGCTGAACTTTGCTGATAACCTTTTGGCTGCTAACTGAAGTTTTCCCCGACTGCTGCTCCCTCAGCTCCCCGAGCTACCAAGATCAATAACACTTAGCTCAATGCAATAGACCTTCTCAGGATAAAATGACCATTTTACCCCTACCCCCAATATGATCCATAACTAAGGCTCAAACACTAGATAGGCTTCCCACGCCCACTATTGGCCCATTAATGGCCCAATTTGCTACATTGGGCCCAATCCCTTTATTGGGCCTTACCCTAAGCCCAAAACATATACTTGGCCCATAATCACTGACTCCTGATGGCCCACTAAGGCCCAAAGACCTATAGTCCAAAGCACAGCCCACACCGAGGCCCAAATGCTCGAAACCCAAACTGGCAGCGTTACGCGGGGCGTACTCCAATGTACGCTTAGCGTACAGGCTTGATGACGAGTACGCTGGGCGTACCTGCACATACGCTTAACGTAGACCCTGTTAAGCCATCTTTCCATTAAGTGCTTAATACTCCGATTCAGAGGCTACAAACTCAGATCCAGCTCTTATTTCATGTCTTAAACCATAAAGTTGCTTACTTTATGGCTTCCATGACTCACATAAGCTCCAACTCCAAAAACCATAATCTATTTCCATGGAGAAAGGTCTTAACTCATGCATGAACTCATTTGGACCATCAAGATATCAACTTTCTGTTCTAGGGAGTCATTTAGCACCAAGGGAGGCAACCCTTGGTCTGGAAATCGGATTTAAGCCATAAAGCTTTCACCTTTGGACCAAAAACTAAACCATACTAGATCTAAGCACCCTTAAGTAAAGTTGTGAGCTTTATACCTTCAAAGTGTTCTAGAAGATGATGTTATCTCAGATCTATAAGCTCTGGCCTCCAAGGTTCCTCCTTGCCACTCTTCTTCTTTTCTCTTCCAAGCTTTAAACCACCAAACTAAGCTTCCCAAGGTCAAGATCTCACAAAATGAAGGGTTGGGGCGTTCTAGGGTTTTTCTGAAGTTGGGGAGGCTGATAAGGGGGCTAGGGTTGGAGCCATTATGTTCCTCATATAGTGGCACACCCTAAAAATAGGTTTTTAAGACTCTGAGCGTACGCTGGGCGTACGCCTCCCCGCACCCGCGATCACTTGCTCCATTACGCTGGGCGTAACCTAGCTTACGCTGGGTGTACCCACACGCATTCCAAATTGCATGCATGGCCTTCCATGTGAACTTTTCTCCATAAGGGCCATTATTGCCAAAATCTTCAAAGTGTCATAACTCCTTCATTCTAGATTTGTTTCCGATGAACTTTATATCTACGGAAAGGTGGCGAGAAGCCCTACGCTTCTAACAACACACCCCGTCCCGAAACCTTCTCGAATAAAACTTAAAACCCATAAATGACCAAAACGCCCCTAGCCTTGGCTTCTGAAATCCATAAATGTATATTTTAGAACAGGGCGTTGAAGGGAGATATAAGGTGGGTGGCGGCTGTTTCACTATTAGGGTTAGGGTTGGACGAGGGTGACGGGTTATATACCCCTTCTCACGAAACTTCATCCCATAATGGCACAATCGGTCCCTCCTTCTTTTTCTTTCAATTTAGCTCCAAAATTTACCATTTCTACCCTAACTTCTGAAATCCCTTTCAAATCCAATCCGTAATTTACCCAACAGCCCTCAGTCTTCAAAATCCTTTCATAATAAGTCCAATACTTACCAAACACCCCCTAACTTCTAAAAATCTTTACAAAATAAATCCCGGAATTACACTTTAACCCCCAAAAACCCAATTTATATCATTTGGCTTCCCGAAACCAACACCCCGCTAAATATTATGGGTTTTAGGGCTATTATTCATTCATTAATTTTATTTATTTATTTATTTATTTATTTAATAAACGGGATGTTACAGTTTTGTGTGCTCATGAAACACTGAATTCTTGGCAATCATTATCGCACTCTCGTTGTCACAATATATAAT